CTTTTGCGATGAATTTTTAATAAGAAAATATTCCCAAGCAATTAAGGCAAAGGAATTGAAGTTTGTTTTTTTTTTGTGTGTGTGAGTGACTGTAAATTTTTAATTTTTGATAATTTTCCTTCTTTTTCTTAATGGCTGTGGTTAGGGTTGAGGGGAAATACGCGTTGTAATGGGATTTTTTACTGCTTTTGTTGTGGAATATCCGAAATGTAAATAATGAAAAAACCACAGAAATTTTGACGAGGGATTTTTAACACTTTTATCAGCAATTAAGGTATTAAATATTAGGTTGGAAGGCATTCAGTAGCATTAAGAGCAATTCTAAGGATAGATTGAGGTAAAACGTAAGTGAAATTTTCTTAGAAAATCAATAAAAGTTGTAGGAATGTTCTGAGAATTATTTACCGGTGTTGTGGGTTCAACAGGTGCCCCAACCTTTTCATATGAATTTATTCCTGCTTAGTTTTAATTATTGTTGACTTAATTCCATGATGTAAGCTTCCTTTTTAATGGTTTTATTGTTATTTCACCTTCTTAGCTCTTATGCAATCTAATAAAAGGCTTAAAGTTGATTTTTGAGGTTAGATTCCATCAAATCAAATAAGTTTAACCTCAAAACCCTTCTCTGACCACTTAACTGGACCGGGTATCCTCAAAAACTCTTCTTTAATTGCTTCCCAGATCCTTTAATTCCCAAAGGTTCTCAAAACATCCCTCAATCAAATTCCAATAAGAATTTCATCCCTAAAATTCCCAATCAGGATGCAATAAGACACCAAACAGTCCTTACAAGTGTGACTGTGTTTGTGGCTGAGCACAAAGTCAATGAGTGATGCATCGACGAAGAAGACAAGAAAAGAAAAGGAAGAAAATTTTTGGAATTGAAATAAAAACTCGAGGAACTTCAGATCCTTTCATTCATTCGCTATTGTGACTTTCCGGCTGATGGAAGTGTTTTGTGTTGATTTTTACAACTGTGTGATTTTTGATCCTTCTTAGTGACTCTTTTGGACGATGAATTTTGAAATATTGATTGACAAAATGGAACGTGACAAATTAAAAACTTAAAAAAAAATTCAAATTGTTTAATAAAATTTATTTTTTGAGATTTTAAAAATAAAAGAAAATTTTAAAACAGACAAAAAAATTTGAAAAATGAGAAATTGAAAAAAATCAAAATTTTAAAAACTAAAATTCAATAAAAGTTCAAATTATTTAAAAACTCAAACATTTTTATAAAAAATTCGGAAAATTTAAAAAGGTGAAAAAATTCAAAATTTTAAAGAAATTAAAAAAACTAAAATTTAAAAAAATATTAAAATTTTGTCTTAATTTTGTGAATTTTAAAAATCATTAGTAAGTAAAATAAATGAATAATTTTAACTAGTTTACAACTAGTCAAGTTGAATTGAATTTAAAATTCCAAAAATATCTCACAATCTTTATAATAACAAGCAGCTCTGCAAATGAGTAACTTGACATGCTTTCTTATTATAAATTCATCAAACTATTTTCATCCGTAATTGCCAAGTTCAGTTTCCTTTCATGTTTTACTAAGTTTAGAAATGTGAAACTAGTAATATTATAAATCCTTGTTAGTTGAGCATCAGAAAGATTTTTAAAAATATCTTCGATACATGAGCAGTTTAGCAAGAGGTTCTTACAAAGCCAGGGGTTCCGATCAAGAGTTTAGAAAAATTCCAATCTTCATCGCTGCCTCAAAATGTTTAATTCTGAATATTTTATTTGAATTCCATGTCATTCCTTCTTGCACAAGATTACAGAACAGATTTTTTAATTCAAAAAAGCAAAAAAAAAATCAATCAAATTGTTGATTGAAAGCTACGCCGTACTTCCGATATGTTCTGTTACTAAATTGGATGCTAACTCAAATGTCATATTCGAATGAACTAATCATGATAATTTAAAGCCATGGAAATTGGTATTTCTGCAGTTATAAATTGTAATTGGAAATTGCAATGGATTTTGTGGGAATATGAGTTGTTGACCATTGGGATGATTTTGTCAGAATTTTGAAATTCATCAGATTTCATTCTAAACTGCTTAACTATCAAAGTTGTAGTTTGAATTCAAATAATCTGACAAAAATTCATTCAAGGGAACCAAAAACTCCTCAAAACCACAAAATCCGCGAACAACAAACAACAAAGTAATTAATTTTACATACAACAAACCCACAAAAGCAGTTAATTGGAGCATGAAAAACACAAAATTTAAACATCAAAATTCATGCACGAGAAAATCGCACTGAAACTCATCCGACGTTAATTTACTTAATTAAGTTCTAAGCCCACAATCAATTTCATTTCACAAAAGGCAATTTCTTATCTCTTCTTCCTTTATTCATTTACTCTTTGAAATAATTCCTCAATTTTGCGTAATGAAAATTAAGTTGAAGAGGATTTCCACTCATAAAATATTAAGGAGAATTAAGATGAGTTGGAGTGTTGATGGGTTAAGTGCCTAAGACGCAGTTGAACGACCTAACCTCAAAGTTTAATATTTTTAACCTCAAAATTGAGCAACTTAACCTCAAAATTGAGCAACTTAACCTCAAAATTGAGCAAATTAACCTCAAAATAAAGAAACCTTACCTCAAAATATAGCAACTTAACCTAAAAAAAGCAACCTAACCTCAAAATTAAGCAACTTAACCTCAAAATTAATCTATTTAACTTATAAAAACCAACTTAATTTCAAATTTGATCAGGAAAACCCAAATAGTGAGCAACTTAACCTCAAAATTCGAAAAATCACCATCGCCAATCTGACAAAATTTCATCAGAAACTAGCTTTCCAATAAAGCTACAAAATTCAAGACCCACACAAAAACTTTCATCATTCAGAAAGCCACAAAGCATAATACACATGTATCCATATCCAAAACCATCATCACACAAGATTGTGGCTTTTGTTGAGCTCAAAGGAGTGGAAAATTTTATAATAAAATCCTCTAAATGAATCGATACCAGATTATTAACTGTGAATGATGCTCGTAAGAGGATCATTGTAAATAATTTATTTGGAAAAACTTTACCATTTTCATCATACAAATGGGATTTTCTCTTTTTCCATTTCCATTGTTGGCTTTTTGCGAGTGTGGAAATTTCTTTGCAGCTGCGACTGAAGACTGAAGACGTTGTGGAGAATATTTAATGATTAAATGGAAATTTTCTATTTTTTTTTTGTTGTTAGCTCGAGTTTTTTGTGGGCACATGTGGATTTTGAAGAGTTTTTCAAGATCTTTTGAGGTTATATTTTGAATTTTTGAGGTTATGTTGACTGATTTTGGTCTAAAGATCCTCAATTTTTAGGGTATTTGTCCGATTTTGAGGTTATGCTGGTCAATTTTAAGGTTAAGTTGCATAATTTTAAGGTTAAAATGCTTAAATTTGAGGTTATTTTTCCAAATATTGCGATTATACCGATAAAATTTAACTATTAATCACTAAGCTCCCAAACACTCATCACATCACTAGCCAGTAACAATGCAATTCTGATAAACAAGTCCTAATGATATTAATTGCTCCAAAAATAGGCACAGATTTATCATGAAATCAAGACTAATTACAAATCATGAATGTATCAAAGCTAATTAACTCAATTAGGTTGCCTCCCATTTTGCACAAATTCTTACAAAATTATCTTCGTTTGTCAACAAATTCTGTAAAATGAGATTCATTGAATGCCTTCGATTTTGTATTAAAGAAAAATGTCTTTGACTTAATATGATGCTTCGTTGATTGGATTCTGTGTACGATGTATGTGGAACTTGTAATTACATTTAATACATAAAATTCTGTTGAATCCGAGCTGATTTGGAAATTTAATTCATCATTTTTTTGCAGCAAATGTTTGTGAATTCTTCATTATTTCCCCAAATAATGCGTAATTATTTAAATTGAGATGTAATCAAGATTATTTTGTTGATTAGTTTTGAATATTTAATTGGGAAGTTGAATGGATCCGATGACAAAATTGATTGATTTGTTCAATTAGAGACCTTTTAGTTATGTTAGTATTTTGAGGTTAGGATCCAGAATTTTGAGGTTATAATCTGAAACTTTGAAGTTTGGATCCAGAATTTTGAGGTTATGATCAAAAGTTTTGAGGTTATGATCCAAAATATTCAGGTTATGATCTAGAATTTTGAGGTTATGATCAAAAGTTTTGAGGTTATGATCCAAAATATTGAAGTTGTGATCCAGAAGTTTGAGGTTATGATCTAAAGTTTTGAGGTTATAATCCAAAACATTGAGGTTAGGTTATAATCTTAAATTTTGAGGTTATGATCCAGGATTTGAGTTTGTTTGTTCCAAGAATTTTGAGGTTATGTCAATAAAATTTGATTTGTTGGTCTTCCTAGAGGTTGAAACTATTAGAATGTAAAGATCTGCATCATAAAATTTATAAATTTCTAACCAAACTTTTTCTCAAATTTTCTTATTTCCAGATTACAAAATCCAAACAATTCCACAAGAAAAAGACAATTCTTTAAGAAGAAATAATCAGACAAAACTGATAAACTGACCCCTAATAAGTAAAATACCAAGAATTTCAAGCAAAACCAAAGACAACGAACTGAATAAAGTAAAGTGTCAAAAGTGAAGAAAAAAGTGAAGAAAATTTAACAAAATTTAGAAATAAGAAGTTAAAAGTGGACAACCAAGAGACTTTTAATGGCAGCTAATGTTTCATTAAATTATAAAAAATAATCTCTAAATTATAAATTTAACTATAATTATACATACCTACATTATACACACAAAGTGAAATTAAATAATCTACATAAAAAAATATATTATTATAGTCACTATAACATATAAAAATTAGTGCAATATAACGTTTAAAATTATCTACTTTTCGTGTGTTTTGCAATCTCTCAATATTTTCTGCCCTCCAATCAACCAAAAAATAAGAAAATTCTGTCTTGAATGTTTAAAAATTTAACATTTTAGTCGTTAAAAGAAATTACATTTTCTGGGCAAAAAATAATCTCAGAAAAAAATAATTGAACCTAACCTCAAAAAAAAGTAAAGTTTTTGAAAATCTGAAGCAAAGCGAGCGACTAGCAATGACTTGTGCATGCATTTCACAAACATAACGACTTGCATCACGTACAAAACATAGAACATAACCTTAAAAAAATAATTTTTCAACAACCTCTGCTCTATCTTTGTGCTGTGCTGAACTAGCAAACAAAAAATAGTAGACGACAGAGTGAAAACAAGACGAAGAACAGCAAATTAAATCTTTCGATAGTTCAACAAATAGACAAAAAAAGAAAGAAGGAACGAGAGTACATAAAATATTTTTCATCTCTCAGGTAAGTGGAAAGGATTTTTTTTTTTGTCTTACTTCTTCGTGATTTCCATGATAAGATTTTTGCTAGTTTTGTTGTCTACGACTGCTACTTTTTATTATTTTTATTATTATTTGATGTTGAGATTTTATTACTTGAGGATATGTACTGAGGTTGATTAACTGGATTTGGATTACGGTTGGATGAGATGTAATCGGATAATTGCTACATTGTTGATGTTGTTACTCTAGGATTTGATGCTGTGGGATAGGTTTAGTAGCAACAAGTTGGTCTGTTGAGGCTTGAACCCATGATTACTAATGTCAAGTCACAGTTGATCATATAAGCTGTCGCAACCTTGGATCTCTTAAGATTCTGGGAAGTGGCTTGTTTGTGAAGCTTTCCTGAGTCTAGAGCTCTAGAAAAAGGTTCCAACAGCTTCATTTAGGCTTGCTTTAGTTATATTTAACGAAAATACAGTAAAATCTTGTACTTGGATCTTCGATTTGAACAAGATTTTTCTGGAACACAACACCTCTTCAAATCGCGTACCTAAGATATTTTGACTTGAAGCCATGTGAAGTTAGTGTCAATCACACCGGCACATCCATTGAACGATTTTTGAAGACGCCCATGCCTAAAAACTCTCCCACAAGCCTCATTAACAATTTAAGTACAAAAAGTTTGAACAACCAGGATAAATCCTCACCCAAATCATACACCCCATTCTTTAAATCCTCCTTATAATCAAACAATTCTCTAATTTACCCCAACCATCCATAAACTCTCACTAAACCCCACAAAATAAAAATCTCATAAAAGTCATTTGAACTTAATTTAATTAAAACAAAAAAAAATATTAAAGCGAGAATCTTATCAAAAATTCCATGTCAAAAGTTTTTATGCAAAGCTTCACATTCAAGCTACAGCTCATGAATAATATGACACACCAAAATGTGAGTACGTGAGAACATTAAGGTTCCATTCATTCCTGCTCTTTGCTGATGTTGTGCATTAAAACTTTTCATATATGCACATTGAGAAAGTAACTTTTTTTTTTGTATCTATATGAAAAGTAAAGCACAGTAAGGAGATGAAAATTATGACTGAGATAAGATGGTGTTGAGGTTTATATTGTTTTTTGTGTACTGCATGTTGTGCATTATAAGATGTACTTGAGGTGGGGTTTTTTATTATGACAGTTTTAATTTTGGTGGAAAAACCAAGAAAATTGTTAAAAATTTATGAATATGTTTTTAAGGAGGCAACCAGGAGCTTCCTATGCGTCAAAAATCCACTAAGGATGTAATTATATCTTCAAGACTTTAATAGCTGTGAAAACCCAACACAACCAGTCTCGTAAACCTTTAATTAAGCCATTTTAACCAAACATTAACATTAACACGATAAAAGACATGTTAATCATAAATCAGCAGTTGTAATCTATGGGAAAGTACTAAGCTATTGACATTTCACTACAAAAAGAAATCAAACTTTTGTTTTTATACAATTAAATCCATCAGGAAAATCCCAAAACAAACTTGACATTACAGTGCACTTTGTTGTCCATCACGTGACTCAGCACCTTACTCAACCTGATGGGAAACAAAAATCCATGTCACAACACAGCATGACCCTTGACATTTTATTAACTTTCTGTAATTTTTCCTGATAAATTTTTAATGATATTTTTTTTTATGAAATTTTCCAGTCACATTTTCAATCAAACTTTAGTGCTGTGGAAATACCAAAGCTTTTATAGCCCAGCAACTGCCACGTTGACTCATAAATATTTTTTTTAAAAAGAGATTTTTAATTAAAAATTGCGAATTTTGCAAAGTGAAAATTAATGAAATGTGAGTGTGGGAAACACTTTTTTAAGGATAATATTTTAATGAGATTTATAAGGTGTTTTACTGCTGAGTTTATGATGTCCACCTACGCTGTTGTGGTGTACGGATAATGTCAAATGTTCAGGTGTTATGCAAGATAAAGTTTTTTATTTCTGAAAGGATTTTGTTGTGGCTTCAGGGAAAGTTAATCTTTTAAATTGCTCAAAAATTGTTAAAAAGTGTTATGAAACATGAAAAAAAATTAAGAAATCTTAGAAATTAAGACAAAAAACTTGTACTTTTTGGCAAGTTTGAGACATTTGAAAAATGTGCGGTATTTTTTGACTTAGAGGATTAATTTTTAAAGAAAACCAGTCGTAAAAACTGAATTTTAAAGGTTCAAGTAGCTTTTGAGATAGGTTCAGGACCCCAAACACCCACTCTGACTTCTGTTATCCCTAACTCAAGCTCATAGCAGCAAAAAGTCTACCCAGTCTTATGAGAAGCTACACAATAGTCCAAACTAATTAAAACTCACTTCCACTACCTTCAGCCTTTCAACTTTCCGAACTAAAACTCAATTTAATTAAAAAATATGTTTTTTTTGTTCCCGCACCACAACGTCAAGTTCAACATGTGTGAAGGAGCATAAAAAAAGTGAATAATAATAGCAATAAATGAGGATGAAAAAAAAGGCACAACAAGCAAGGCAGAGTTCATAAAAACAATAAAAAATGTTGTTAATTTACTACAACTACCATTAAAGTTTGGCATAAAAATAAAAATAAATAGCATATGAGCTTGAAAAGGTCAGCAAAGATTCTATAGTTGTGATAATCAGGCGGTTGAGTTGTTTTGCTGGTCTGAAATTTTTTATGACTTTAATGGAGTTTTGAGGAATTTCCGCAGGGGTTCTGATGTGTAGCTTGGAAAATTGACTGTTTTGGCTGAGATTAAAGGATGTTTTAGGGGATTAAGAGGTATTGCAAGCTTACTGTGGATGTTAAGAGGTATAATAAGTAACTTTTTGTTTATAGGGTCTGTCAGAAGGCAATCTATGAGTGTTAGAGGCTGAAAAATACTCAAAACTACAAAATATCCATTCTAACCACTTCGTAGGACCTCAAAGGAAACTAATTTCTCTCAATTTTCCCCCAAAATCCCTCTAGCACCCCTAAAACCTCCCATAACCTTATTTTAAAAATCCAAAACATTCAACATTTTCCACCATGAAAAGCTCATCCATGCAAAAGTAAAACTTTTGTATTTTCCACTCACTTTTCTCCATTTCTTGCCTCACTTTTCTTTCCCTGGGAACTGTTTAGTCATTAACACTTGTGGCATGTACGGAACATCAACTGCGCAACAGTTTGATATGAGGAAAGGGTGAAAAAAAAATTGTTTTATGTACTTTTGAACAAAAAAAAAAGTATAAAATAATAAAAATAAAAGTAAAGTATTGAGGAGGTGAGCATATGTCATGGAAGGTAAATTAAATGTTAAAAGTGAGGAAGTTAAGAGCTGCAAATGTGGAAATTTTGTGAAATGAATCTTGTGGAGAAATGAGATTAAATATTAAATCTTTTGTGGGGCGTTCTTGGAATGTGTTTAAGATTAAGCCTTGAAAAGTAAATGTTTTTGAGATGAGGAGCTGGATTTATCCCATTTGGCTGAAGAATGCCACAAAAATGACTTAAAACCTCAAAATTTATTGATATCTGCTATAAACATTCAAAATTGAATAGTTTGTGCAGCAATTTCAAGGTAGTTCACACTAATCGGGTTGAAATTTTTTAATAACCTCAAAATCGAACCATTAACTTTAAATTCGAACAATTAAAATTCCATATCAACATCCTCTACAACAACTAAATAGATGTCGAAAATTGTCGATAAAAAAGCCAAGTTTCAGCTCAAAATTCGAACTTGGACCGGAGCACTTCACAAAGGCTTTTTCACCTCTCAAAATAAAATTCCAAAACACATTACATAAACATCACCAGCATAAATTATCCTACACATCACAACACATCCATATCCATACACAATACCGCACTATAACAAATAAAAAAGGAGAGTAAATGTAGTTCACATATTTATTTTATTCACAACTGAGGTTCATTTAATACCCTGTTATATAAAGTAGTACAACATTTTTACAGTATAAATCACATGCCACAACACATTTGCTTTTTTTTCGCACCACATGTCAACAGATTAGGAACAAAAAATAATAATGTGGAAACTGAAATGGAAATGAATGAAAATTAAATGTGTGAAGTTTTGGGAAGATTTTTGGGGGTTGGGTCATGTTGTGGATGAGATGAAGATGTGGTTAGGTTCACAATGTTGGTCGAGGAGTCTTTGTTAACACTCTGGTGCTGCCTCAATACTACCCATGACCTCTAAATCATTCTAGCCAGCTGTACAGCCAGCCTAATATCTATTTAAGTCTTTATATCCATACCTACCCATTGAAAGTTCATGACACTCCAACAATTTAATCTACTTTATAGCACATGATAATATATGACTTCAATATAGCTCACCGCATGTCCTGAACATAACGTTCTGCCATTTTATTCACACAAAAAAGAGAAAAGCTGAAAAGCTCTCAACTATCGCTGAGTAAATTATTCATAGATTAACATATTATTACGAATGAAACTGATTCTCAACAGCCATGGTCAATTTCAAGTGCAATTGTATGCTAAATAGGGGATCTGAGAAATGATCATGAAAAATATGTAAAGTAAAATCTCGGCACTGATGAGAGAAAATTGCAGATGTGAGCATTGATTGACATGTGATTTGGGTATGATTTGATTTTATTTGGAGGATAAAGAGCCATGAGGTTGGTAAAAAACTGAAATTTCAACCTGGGTTGGCCGTAAAAATTGGGAATAATTTCAAACTTTTTACCTGGTTAATGACCTCGACTTCTTAATAGTTTCATCACATCATGCAACAAAGATGTCTATTAATTCCATAAACTCAACGTTTAAAGCTCAACTTTTAATCACAATATGAAAAAGCTAGTCAAGAGAAAGAAAAAAAGTCATCAACAAAATAATTTTTCAATTCCATTGCGCGCAGAATCGCTGTATTACGGTCATAGAAATGGAAGATTAAGAGTTAGAAATGGATATTTTTTTGTAGATTTATATTCAATCCCATAATCCCATAAAGATG